TTTTCAGTCACTTTGTGTCTTGCCCAATCGTCACCCTGCTAACCGTCCCTGACGTCTATCTGTCAAAAGGATTATCAGCTCAACGATTTTCTCAACAAAATGTACTTTGACAAGGCTTTAGCAATTTTGAGACGCCCTCAGTGCGTATATTACTCTCACCTCGTCTCGAAAGCCGTCACCCTTAAATCACGATGAGGTAGGTACCATACGAACAACAAGACCGGTAATTATAATGACCAAATTGGTTGCATAGAGTGGGGTAAAAGCATTCTGACTTGCTAAGGTGAAGTGAGTATAAACACAGTATCCAGTAAGTGTTTAACCCAACTTTCCCCGGCGCTCGAGACCACAGGGTTTTTTTGCTTATTTTATCACCCAAGCGTTTTATCACTAAATTTAGCCGATTCCGCATCCTCTTTTTTGCGCTTGTCCTGGAACTTCTGCCCTTTTAAAATCATTCCAAACAGTTCAGAGACAACAAACGAGCGATTCTGGGATAGAGCCATTGAGATAGAGATATCGTATTTCCGTCAAGAAGTCGTATCCCTGTCCAAATCCAATCTTCTTTTATGTAATAATGCTGTGAAGAAAAATACATACCCGGCTCGCTGTGATCATCAACCAGTAGTATTTCGTGGATCAGACTGGACGGCGTCCGGTCCAAGATACTATTAACCATGCGAATCAGTGCCGAAGACGCTTCGTTATAATAACAGATAACAATGCTGGCTGCTGGCAGTTCTTCTGCATAGCTTTCATTCAAACATCTCAAACAGATCACATGCTTTTACCAGTGCATTTGACTGGTTAAGAAATTGACTCAACAAGCTGAGTTGTCTTTGTAAGCTGTTGAAACCTTACCAAAAAACGCTCCTTACCAAAATCGCCTGAACAATCGATGTGTTGCCTACCCCAATGTTAGTGACGTTGCCGGGACGCTCCTACACGCCAGGCACAGCTACGTCAGTCTTTCGGTCTTGGGCTATGTACCCCAGTCAAAACCTACCACCTACCCCACTTAATAAACAACATCAAAATGCTGAGGTTTTTAAAATTTGGGTTTTCTTAAATTTTCAACATATTTTAAAATTTTTGAAAAAGTGTTTTTTGAAATGGAGTTTTGATCAGCTGCAGCTCATAGCGTGGTTCTGCAAACTGCAGCTGACATCTTTTTTGCTTCCTTTACTCGTGTTACATCACCAGATGGTCAGTCTGCTAGCGATCTTAGCATTCGTCTCGATTTCTGATCGGATTACCATCTCAACGGTTCTCTGAAAAGAAGTACTTGGCAATGCTCTAGCCGTTTAAAATGAGTACTTACAGAAAGTGTCGTGTAT